TGACAAGGGATGACGGAAATTCGTTCCAAAATAAATCATTTCTTAACATTCCTTCGTTTGACATCCATATTTTGATATTTCGTGTAACTTGGGTTTAAGTAAACTAAACTCGACATTTCTAGCAGGTGAGAACCCTCTTAAAAATATAAATTCGAACTACTTTCTGAAACCCATTTCGTTTGGCACCTATATGGTGACAATTATTTCTCTTACTTAATATGATTTTTTTTAACGGCTGGCAACCCCCCTTTAGCTAAGGAACAATGCTTTTCAAAACCATTTCGATTGATACCCATTTTGTAATAACTGACTTATTTTTTTTTTTAAATAATTTGAATATAATTAAAAAAAAAGAAACCAAATAGACGAATATGTTAATTTTTAACCATTTGTCGCTATTTCGAGCGACTTTTTTCAGTTTGAATCGAAATATCTCCACAACAATAGTTTTCCCAGATATAAGCTATATAATAAATGAAAGCTAGTGTTTCGGGCTAGACTTGAGTAAACTTAGTAAAAAATCGCAGCGCTATTTTTAGTTTTAAGGCGATAACGTTATGACATATTTACACAAAAATGAGCGTTAGATAGCTTCTTTTAAGGCTCTTCTACTGCTGTCCACATTAATGTTATGGAATGAGTAGTGCGGCCTCAGCGATTGTTTAAAAATTGCCTTTTTTCGAATTTCAGACAGCAGCCACGCCCACAAAGGCATACAAACCTACTTAGTTTTTTTTGTACTTTAATTCCTGAAAGTTTGACACAGTAATAAACGTAATACTAACGAAAGAAAAATGGTCAAAACTGGTAAAGTGTCGTTTACCAATTTTTCCCACATGACTGAATGTATAGATGTTTTTATAACGTGTTTTCACGGGCATAAGCTAACAGCGCTTTATATCAACGACTGATAAATTTTTACTACTTCTGTGCATTAAAAAAATTTTTTTGTTTTTCGTGTGAACGGAAAAAACAGCACTATTCATTTTTAGAATAAAAAAAATTATTGCACTGTGAAAAAATTATAAATAGATACGAGCGTGAAGTAATTCTGCAAAATTTGGTTGATTTAAGTTATGCTAATCTTTTAGTAAATGAACGATTTGTGTTCATGCACACATGCATGTACGTAAGGGTTATTGCATGAATAAAATATTTACTGTCTACCAGTCTTTCAACGCTGTCTACATTTTCAATTAAAAATTCTGTTTGTGATTTGCTAACTAGAGTAGTAACCACGTATGCACGTTCACATGTTTGTATAAGTCTGCCTATGTACATATGTACATCTAAACTTCCATTCCCTTTTAAAGTTCATTGAAATTAGCTTCTAAGCAGTGGAGTAGAACGCTTCTTTCGTTAACATCTAAATAGCTTTTAGTGAAAACAGTGAACTTTGAATGTACGCTACGCTAGGTTTTTCTTTCGAATTCAATGTTAAAAATACAATTTCAGGGATCCCATATCTCTGAGTTATGTTCTTTCGCGGCAGGGTCATATATCTTGCATTTATTTCAATTTAGGGAGTTCCACAAACAAGTACAATAAAAAATATATAAAGTATTTGAATAATTTCACCCTTAAAACGTTTTCTTTAGATAACTTTGTTAAGTTTTCAAATGGAATATTCGTGTTTGAGGCAAAGGACGCTGCCATCCAATACAGCATATCTGTAAAGTTTCAAGAGTGTGCCACCAAAAAAAAAAAAAAAAAAAAAATGGCAGCATGTAGAATATATGCCGCAGCTATTTTGTAATTTTTGAAATTTAACGATTTTCCGGAACATCCAAATACCATGCGTACACGGAAACCACATATTTTACAATTTTAATTGCATTAATGTAGAGTTAAGTCTCGTAAAAAAAACTGTCAAACTTGTTTTCCCAAAATTTTCGTTTTTACACATTCGTGTTTCTGGCATACGGGCTTCGATATATTCGTAAAGAATACTGTTGAAAAATATTCCACGCCAATATTTAATTACTTTGAAATAATAAGGCGTGCGAGTAAACATGTTAGCTGACTGCGTGCGGTGTGTGCGGGGCGTATACGTTACATATATATATGAGCATGAGTTGTTATTTTGACTTTATTTTAGTAAATCTCTTTTAAGATTTTTAATTGAGTTTGAGCCCGTTATTAATTAAAATTTTTGTGGGAAAATAACAACAACATTTAAATACAATTTCGCGATTGAATCTTGTTCTCTATGAGAAACTGATGATAATGCATGTATGTTTTGTTTTTTTTTTGTGAAAAAGAAAAACGGACGAAAGATTGCAAAACTGTTTAGTAAACGAAATTGCCGGATTTCGCCGTGCATCTGATAAATAAATAGAGCGTAAGGAGAGAGACGAGCAACAGCAAAAAGCAGTGCATAGCAAATTTTATAATAATACATATGCAGAATGCGGTGAATTTGTACGAGTTTGCGCATTGCTATCACTAGGTACACTTTCCATTTGAAGAGAAAGAAAAGCAGAGCTACGCTATGAGAAAGTCTCAGTACGGCGAACTCCGTAGGCAACGAAAATTGAGTGTTTAAAGTGCAACGAATAGAGAAATCGCGCAAATGGAAGAAAATGAATCATTTTATAATACCAAAAGAAAAATAAAGAGAATGAAGAAAAGAAATTTTATTGGTAAGAGAGCTCTTTTAACTTCTGGGAGATTTCGCCGCATTTGGAGTACTGTTGTTACCATGGAGATACGAGGCAATAATTTGTGTATATGTAGAAAACAGAAGCAAACGTGCTGCATTTAAGTATACGTAGCTGAGAGTAAATTCGGTTGAACGAGAAAGAATATTCTCTTATTTTGAATACAAGAAGTGAATTGAATTAAATATAAACAAATGTTGCAAGGTAAGCTAGTTTAGACTGAACCGGTCTACGGGCATCATCAAAAGACACATAAAAAATACCAACTTCTATATAAAATAATTTTACGTAGTGAAGAGGCTGCAAATACTCGTAAACATAAGCTCTAAACTAGAAGTTACAAAGCGATAAATTGAGTGCTTACCAAAAAATAAAATTAGCAAAGACATCTACTAACTAAATAATAAACTGATAGCACAAAGAACAACTATAGATATATTTCATTGCCACCTCCACGATGTGTCTCTACTTGACAGCAGTTCATCATTTGTCTGACATAGTGGCTCATTACGTTTGTCGTATGATTGAAATATCATTTGTCGTTCTTCTGATGATAAGTGGCGCTGGAAAAACAAAGTCTCAAGTAGCTACATAAATATGCATTGACATTAATCGTCGCAGCAGCATAGAAGCTGACGGTAACTACAACTACCAGCCATGGCGTATACGTAACAATGATAAATGTATCTTCGACATTCGTATGGCACCCGAAGTCGTCAAGTGTCTGTGTGTGGCTATTCAGGCTGGCAGCCGTATGATGGTGCCGGCAGGAGTGCGTGAGACTGTGAAAGCCACGCGTCAGTGTCTCTGACAAGGTCGAGAAAGTGTCGCTAGCGAGAAGTGTTTGCATTGTGGCGCCATATGTCATCAACCGAAGCCGTAGCAAGAAAATGTTTATGACGTTTTGATTTGATGCGTTTGTGCGTGAAATCTTTTTGTCTATCTATGTGTTTCTGTATATAAATATGTATCCACGTGCATATTTATGTGATGTTTGATAAATACAACTTAAAGAAAACTTAAATATTATATTGATTTTTTATTTTCCGGTGAACTAACAAAAATAAATTAAATGATGTTTGCATGAATGTGGTGATTGGACTTATCTAATTGGCAAAATAAATTTTACATGCGCTTTAGAAAAAATAAAAATAAATAAAATTATAGCAGTTAATTGAATAATAAAAAATCAAAAAAAGTCAACACTTGAAGGTAAAAAATGGACAAACATTTTTGGTAAATTTAGAATTAAACACAATTTCTTGGACGTTAAAAAACTGGCCATCGATTTTTGGTCATTTGGTAGAGATACCGCATAATGATTTTTCTAGCATTAATTTTTATTTTTATTAACTTTAAATTTTTTCGTTATTATTTTTAATGTATTATATTAACCGTTTTGTCCTATTGCCTAGATCCTTAAAGCGGCGAGACGGTTTTTAACTGCATAAAAACTCAACTCGAAGTAAGGGCCTTATTGTTTCGCACTGGTGATCAATGAACAAACTCCAACAGCTTTGATTTAGCCCTAGCCATTTCTCAGCTGTCTACTCATTTAGCACAGTTTCAAACCAACTGTTACCATATTCCAGAACCACATTCATTTCGTTTCGTACTGTACGGAAAATAACATGAAAAGATATGCGCGCAGCAAATGCCTATAGATGTCACTGAACTTCAGTACTCAGTTTCTCTTTTGTTTGAAATATCCTAGCGACTACTGTCAGCTCCTTACCACCGCTCAGCTGGCTCAGCAGCTATGTTGTTTTTCAAACGCGCTATTGCTTTTCGTACCTCGTCATAGTCAGGTGGTGGAACATCGACTCCTTCGTCATCGACTGGGGGCTCGAGCTCGTCTTATCCATAGCTTTCAGTGCTTCTACCATTCAGTAGGGTGGAAAAGTGCTCCCTCCCCAATTTAAGTACATTCTGGACATCATTCACTAGGTCACCATTGTTGTTCTTACAAGATTTCGCCCTGGTCTTAAAACCTTCCGTTAGTCGCCTAACTCTCTGATAAAATTTTCGGGCGTTTTTCCTGTCGGCCAGAATTTCAAGCTTTTCGCACTTACGTATTTACGCTTTCCATTTCTTATTGTGGCAAATACGCCTCGCTTCTCTCTTTAGCCTCCTATAACGGTCCCACATGGCTCGCGTTGCGCCTGAGCGCTGCTATTCCCAATGTTAATCAGAGTTACAGCGATCCAAATGCCGTATTCCATCTACATCCGTATAGCCGTTTCAGAGTGAAGAGTGTTTTCGCACGGCGGCCGCCTTAATAACATACAAATTAAAATCTTAATTTTTGTTTTAATTTATTTATTTATTTATTATCAATAGAGTGAATTTGCTGAAAGACCCTCCATTGGACCTACTCATTACAAATTCTAGTTGCAAGCTTTAAAAAGCATCACAGGTATGTTTTTCATTTACTTTAAGTACACTTATTTCTACAAAAAGATTTTCATGTTATGCACCATTTAACCATACATCTTTAGAAAATACTACTATACTATTTTGCACTTATTAACTCATTTTCATTTGCCTCACAATCCTCATGCACTTTACTCAAACGCATGATCACTTCGTCCAATTCGAATTGCGAACTATAGACACCCTGCGCTACTTCCATAACAATTTGCGATTGTCGGCGTGCCACTTGCGCATTTGTCACGCGTCGTCCGGTGCGGAAATAGTTCTCAATCTCTAACAATGTCCGACCTTTCGTCTCTGGTACGACGAAAATAATGAATACCAAACCCAAGAGGGAAATAAACCCGAAGCCGAAAAAGCTATTTGGTGTGCCGATCAACGATTCTATGGTGGGATATAATTTCACCACGCTGAAGGAAAATGTTAGCCCCACGAACAACGTTACGCCATTCGCACTGCCGCGCACACGTTGCGGAAATACCTCGGAGATCATGAGGAAAGGCAACGTCAGCAGTCCCAGCGTAGAGAAGATGATGTGCAGCACAATGCAAATGATGGGCAGTAGCGCAAAAGACTCGCCGATAACAGGCCACCAGCCATTGGCCGCCAACAAAAACATGCAGACAGTCATGCCCGCAGCAGAAAGCATGCCTGCCGGTCGTCGACCCCAACGCTCGAAGATTGTGCTCATGAAGAAGGTGGTGACGATACGTGCAATGCCGACGAAGACAGCTACCAACATTGGATCCGCAGATACGCCAGCGCTTGTAGCGATTTGCGCCGCGAATACTATAATAATAACAATGCCAGAGAATTGCTGAAAGAAGAAGAAGCCAATCATCATGATGAGCGGCTTGTAGACTTCACGAGCGCGTATGACTTGCAAGAGTGATTCATTCGCAGCGTCTGCGCGGCTCTGGTCGGATGTCTTTTTGATAAGCGCCAATTCATTCTCAAACTCATCGTAAGTGGTGTTGTCTGGGGAAGAACAAATGCGAAAGTATGAGAAGCAAAAATGAGAAAAGTTTTCGTGGTAGTTACCATTTTCGGAGAGCCCACGGAAATACTTGAGTGATTTTCGCGCTTTTTCCGCATAACCTTTTTGCAACAACCAGCTCGGTGATTCGGGCATGGGTAGAATACAGCAAAATGCAACACATTGGTAAATCGCTGAGATGATACAGACCATTTGAAATTGATTCTGTGAGTGGAGTTAGCAGTGCGAAGATTTAAATAAGTATAGGAAGAACATTTGGCAACATTTTTCACTACTCACCCGTATTATTAAACCCAGTACATACATCGTTAATATGCCGGTAGCTATGGCAATTGATGTACCCAAAATCAGGCGTCCACGTATGCGCGGCAAACTGATTTCCGCCGAGTATGAGCCAATGGGCGATAAAACTGCGCCCATCATCAGACCTGCAAATAAAGTTGAGTTTAAAACCAATTTAAAATATTTTTATTTGCTTTCCATGTTAAAGTTGTAAGTATAGTACCTGATATGAAACGACCAAGCAACAGCTGCAGGAAAATGGCATGCCGGGCACTTTGGTAGGGTGCAGTAACCAGCAATACCCAGCCTATAAGACCAACAACATTTGTTAAAAGCATTGTGTTTTTGCGGCCAAACCGGTCCATGAGATAGCCGACAATCAATCCGCCAATGGGACAGGCCATGCTGTTGATAGATGCTGAAAGGAGAAACAGGAGGCATTTGAACGATTTTCATTTAACTAATAATTTTTTCAAAACTTTTAAAAGAAAAAAGATAATTATGAAAAATAACGCTTACAATCGGGTTTTCCTAAACTTGGTGATTAATAAAACAGTTTTTTTTAATGAACAATTTTTCAAATAACTTACCAAACCAACTGATTTCTTCAGTATTAAGTTGATAAATATCGTCTGGACTGGTGAGTTGTGGTAGAGAAACAGATGGCAGTGACACCGACATGCCTGAAGACACCACACAGGCATTTCCAAGCAATACCATCAACTCCTATAGAATATAAAGAAATTGAATTTTAGTGTACAAACAAACTTTCGTTCATAATTTGCAATTTACCTGTCGTCTTACGGCTTTCTTGCGTTCTCCAAGCGGCTTGGCTGGCTTCTTCTTCAGTGCTTTTGTGATGAGCGGCGAAAGCGCAATGTTGCTGCTTTGTATCTTTGATAATTCTGGATTCATTTTTATGCTAGTTTTTACTACTTCATATAACTGTTAGTTTGTGCGACCATACGCTTTGCGTGTTGTTTCTAGAAAAGTAGAAAAAAATATATCAAATTAATACATACTTTTGAAATTGATGTATTAAAAATGTCAGCCAAAAAGTAGTTAATCATAGTATTGAGTTTAAAGAAATAAATGGTTGTATTTATTGTACCGCGATATAACTCGCTCTAGAACTTCCAAAGAACGTAGATAATCAGAAGGGACAACTCATTATAATTGTGGCGAAAGAGCGCAATAGGAGTGTGCCTTCTCTTTTCATCCAATCAAAAAACGCTTAATAATATAACGAAATATTCAAAAATTTTAATTTTGTGGGTAAACGAAATCAAAGTTTGATCAATTCATACAGTTTGCATACAAAAAGATAGATGGAAGGACACATATCCTCGACATATTTGGAAATTTTGGTTACCTGTTGGACTGACATATTCTATTTATCAAGCTTATTAATTGCATAATGAAATATCCAAAAACGTAAATTTTGAGTTACATCTCTATATTATTAAACGTGCGATGCGTATATTGCTTTTATTCGATTTATTTTTTATTTAATTAACACCTTCAATTTAGTGAGAGAGACCTCAATTATGATGCGACGGTTTTCGAGGGTAGCGAACGATTAATATTAAGTATTTTCTTTTACCTATGAGTTAGGTAGCTAATCATATGTATGCACATTAGGGTGCACCGAAAAAATATACCCCTTTTTTTATTTTGAAATCAAAAAATATTTACAGGTCGCTCAAATCACCCAAAGTTTTTCACATATTTTATATGGTGAAAAAACCACTTTTCGTAGAAATGATATAGAATTCTTACAAATCAATAATTTTCTATCGGATAAATCTGGTTCTCATCAGGCGACTTACAATAATAATGCCCAATTGTTTATTTAACTATTTTTTCATCGCAACTATAATTTATAGCCCCGCCAAAAACCCCGAAAAATGCAAAAGGGGGACCAATAACAAATTGTTAGTATTAAAAAATGGTTAAATAAATAATTGGGGATTATTATTAAAAGTCTCCTGAAGAGCGTGAACTGAATCAAAAAAGCTTTTCCACATACTTATAGACCAGAGTCTACGCTTTATTTTAAAAGAATAATTTACTATATTTTTGTACTAATTTATTAATAATTTCGGTTTGAAATATGGTATTTTTTGCATATTTCCGAACCGAGCTTTAAAACACAAATAATATCCACGAAATATCTCAGCAAAATATGTTTAGCCCCTCTTCTTCGGCAATGCTGAAAGGAGAACTCTACTTACTTAGTGAGGGTTATGTAAGTACCAGAGAAGAGAGCCAGGGTTTTCCGATCGAAAAATATTGATTTTCAAGAATTCTATACCATTTCTACGAAAAGGTGTTTTTCCCCATATAAAAATACATGGAAAACTTTGAGCCCTTTGAACGACCTCCAAATATTTTTTGATTTCAAAATAAAAAATAGGGGTATACTTTTTTCGATAAAGAACAATCCTAAATAGCGGTTGAGAGCATTACAATTCCAACTTTACTGTTTTTGACCACCCTAATGTACATACATGTAGCTTACAAATGCAGGATAAGTATAAATTTAGGTAGCTACATATTCAAATTTAAGTGTGTAAAGGTAAGTATGTAGTTAAATTTTGGTAAACGTTTTGAGGTACGTATTTTTAGGAAAATATGTTAAAATAGTATTCTAATTAGAAAATATTAATTGTGAGTTAGAATTATATTATGTTGGGCAGGGCCGTAGAGAGGAATTTCGGGCTCGGGGAGAATCTCGAATGTGGGCCCCTAAATTGCACGAAATTAAATAGTTAGAAGTGGCATAAATGGAAAGGGGCTCGGCGTGCCTTTCCGAAGATGTTGCAGAGGAAAAAGTCTTGCATATCTTATGTAAATGGCGTGCAGTGTGTAGAAGCAGGCTGCCTCATCTGAGTTCACCGTTCCTGGCCACCCTTGGAAGGTTCCAAATACTGACGAAAGGTGCATGATGACATTCATAAGCGACACGAAGTGGTTCAACAGGGAGATTAATTGAACGGTATCAAACTGTGGTAACACAATTGGCCTTCTACTTATGGCCTACCTACCTACCTACCTACCTACAATTTGATTTACTTGATTTTTTCATGGCAAATACACCGAATTATAAGAAATGTGATGCAAGTTGAACCCTGTAAAACGCATTTGTATATCTGGCTCTAGCTGAGTGTGAAAAAGCCTCTGTGAAGTGCAGAACATAAGTGTATGCAAACGAAAAATCGGCAACAAAAAATTGGTTTTATTTAAACAAAACTGTGGTTAATAATACCAATTCATTGTTGAAAATATCCATTGCCGTGGTTAGTATTGAACTAAAATCACTTTGCTTACTTTCAAGTTTGAATTTAGTAATAGTAACCAATTTTTGGCTGATTTTTTCTCAGTGTACCTTAGTATTAATTAAAACCTACATATGTATACACCTAAGTTTTTTTTCTTGACTATTAAGATATTTCAAAATAATAAGTATATGGGTATTTAGTATACCAAAAGTACTTTAAGTACTAAATTTTTTAAGTTTACCCATAACTATGAGTAATGGTTACTGAACAGCCGTTAATGTGTTCAATGTGTGATTTTTTCTACACGAGCGGACGTTATGATTTATGACGCGAAAAAACAAAATTCAAGTGTTGCCTGCGACACTTCATAAGTCATTGAAAATTTTAAAATTTAATCTACTTTATTCCTCTTAAAAAAAATCAAATTATTATCGTCATACATACATATAAATATGTGTATGTGTGCGTGGCTCTTGAAGTACATAAATATGTATGTTACGTTCGACCTTTTCGAGTTGTAGATAATTTCAAGATTATTATTTATGCGACACGAACGTTTTGACGTGAGTCCCAAAATTGTCATACATTTAAATATATTCACATGTGTACATACAAGCGGATGTATGCGTATATAGGGTGATCCATTAAAAAAGTGGTCGACTTTATTTTAAATAACAATACTGGATATCAGAATCTTTATTATCATCCGAAAGTAGAACCTCTGGCATCTGCATTTTAAAATTAATTTAATTCAAATGTTGACCGCGACCTACAGGACAGGTGGCCCATTCGGAAGGTCCAATTGTGATCTTGTTTCCCAAGTTTCCAAGTTTTGAATCAAAGCTGGCTTATCGAAGAAGATTTCTGACTTCGCATAACCCCAAAGAAAAAAAAAATCAGAGATGTGATACCACAAGATAACTTGCTGAAACCAAATGTTGCCGACATCATGTGATTAAATTTCAGGCAAAGAAAGGCCTGTTCTCTCGGCGACCTATATTTGAATGAAACTATTAAAAAAACTAAATGTCAGAAATCCAGTTATGTTTTAAGAGTTTTATTGAAAATTTAAAAACCAAGGTCTAGATGAATCACCCTATATTATAAGTACATACTCGTACATATGTATTTATGTATGTATATAGGTACTTAATCAATTTACAAGACCCAAAAAAAGAAAGAAATAGAAAGAGTTATATTTTTTTAAATTTAAAATTAATGAACAACCTTAATTTTAATGATTATTTTCTAAGTTGCGTTGAGTAGATAAAAAATCGATTTTATTTGGGAAAATCAGCCGCAAGGAATTTACCGGGCAGGCTTGAAATTGCAATGGATCAAACAGGAATAGTAGGTAGTTATGTAGATAGACGTCGCTGTCACTACTACGCAGGTACAAACATATGCCAGGAGTTTTAGGCCCTTTATGATACCACGACCAAATGTTTTCCCTCCCTCTAGCTAAACCGTTTTGAATCCTTGACGACACTCAGGCATCTAGGGTTTAAATCTACCAATTTGTCAAGGTGCAGAACTGACTCCTTCTCCGCACTTCTGAAGCATCTATGGTAAGACACCCCGAGCCGTTCTGCGTGTTTACCTATAAGGCAGTGACCTGTTAGAACAACAATTGTGTGAGCTTTGCCCTTCCTAGTTAGATAATATAAGCTTCGAAACCTTTTTCGATTCCACCTAGACCAAGTATGCCTAGAAATTCGACATGTCATTACTCGCATCAACTTCTCTTAAAATCAGCTTGCAAGTGGCGAAGGGCATACTAATGCGTTCTTTGCCCCCGGAAGAATGTGCCTGGTCGTACCCCTCTCACAAGTTCGTCCTTATGACCAGGAACTTAAAGGGGAGTTCGAACTGTTCTGTTTAGCCATTTTTTGTAGAGATCGGCGGCAGTTCAGTACAATTTTTGATTTAATTGTGGCGGCACTTACAGCTTTTAAATCAGTACAAAGCTCGCTTATAGCCTGGTGAGGCCTTAGACTCTAGTCCGACAGTCGAAATGAACGGCTCAGGGCAGGACTGCGGGAGAAGAACCCGCCCTCTCACTACACCGTTAATTTTTGAGCCATCTGTGAAAATTACTATAGTACCGGGTGGGCTCTAGTAGTTTTCTACGCATTCCGAACAGTAAGTACGCTGATGAACTGATTAATTGATTGCTTCAAGTGTGTTTATGTATATATATATGTAAATATGCCTGTATGTATTTATTTGTAAACAATCTCCTTAACATTATTTATTTCTACAAAATATTTTAATTGCACTTGAGACATAAGGTCGTCATTCATAGGAAAAATACATACGTATATAATCAATGCTGATGGAAACAAATAGACTTTGATTTTAATTTACAAGTTACTCGTACTATCTTACATACCTTTGTAAATACTTCTATATACATATGTATGTGTAGTGATTTCAATTTTTATTGATTGCAGTCGGAATTGGTGAAACAAAATTTTCGAGTGTTTGCCATTTTATATTTTGTTTACTCAATGATTGCTAATATTGATTCCTTATTATGCTTTTATATAAGTATGTTCATAATATGTATGTCAGGGGCTATGCGAAAATGGGTTGTAAAAAGACAATGCATGTGGTCTTTGTACAAGTCCATCGGCTGCAATTTGAAGTGGTTGCCCTTAGGATGCCCCTGTTTATGTGATTTTTCCTAGTTGATTCACTTTTAAAGGAAATGCAAGACATCAGTCATACCCAATATGCACAAAGCAAACATTTTTCCAACTTTTTTCCAATATTCGAGAAATTTTGGACAAGGTTTGACTAAAAGTTGAATAAAGTTTGAACCCAAATTGATATAAAAGCTTTTCTCAGTTAGAGAACTCAGATTATTTTGTATACAAAAAATATGCCCTTTTATTAGAGAATGGGTTGGTACTCCAATTGACGTACACTTGAAAATCAACACTGGACCTTGGAATTTGTATTGGATCTCCAATCCAAATGTTTATTGGGTATCTTAGCTTTTATTGGTGGAGTTTATTGAATAGTGTGCGGAAATACAAGTATAATATTTTTTTTTTTTCAGATTCATAATATATAAATTTTACTCTCAATTTCGATTCTTAATTTATGGTAGTTTCATACCGGATATTTCTACTAAAACGGCAGCACTAGACGGCTCGGAAACTCCATAGCGAAAATCGGCAGGGATCTTCGGAACCAGAACGAAGAGGTTGACGGCTATGGAATAATTTCCGAGCGTTTTAGAGGCGGTTATATGGAAGGTACGAGAATAAGGAGATCATTTATAAAATGAAATAAAATCATAATTAGTCCTTTAAGGCATTGAGAAATTTAACTCCCTTGTTGGGCATAAGAGGACCTAGTTGGCGAGAGTGCCAGACCACAAGAGAATAGAACAAGGTGAGATATGTGACTGTGTGGCAAGAGAGGCTGCAGAAATCAATCAATGGGGATGAGCTTAGGAAAGCGAAATTTTAACTTACAAAGCTCAGTAGGACAGCGATGGGCTTAAATTATTGACAGACGACATATGTGAAATGCCGTCCACCCGAATTCGTTCCACATTCAAGGTAAAGTGAGCCATTTCAATGAAAGAAATTGTTCGGCGGTGAAATTTTTCACCAAATATTCATGATAAGGCTGGTTGTATAATACCAATCGAAACTATTAAACAGTATACAAGTGCACGTGTATGTTTACCGTCATTTTTTTTACGCAAAAATTTACGTGATTTCGCTCAGCCTTTGATGTTATTCATTTGCTATTTTATTGATTATTGCCCTTGTTAAAGTCAGAAATAATTATCGTAAATGCAAAAAATTCGGCAAATGTAAACACATTTTTGGCAAAACTGATAATGAGATAATGAGCAGTAATTGCTATGACTAAATTACAACAAATTTTAAGCAAAAAATACAGCCGACTTTATTGCTCTTATAAAAGTTTATGAGCACTGTTAATTTCTTCATGATTAAATGATCGGAACTAAACGAAAGTACTATCTGAGCGCCCTCGAGGTTCCATCTTTTCGCTAAAAAAAAAAGAGTTATCGAAAACCGCTCACGTGGTCTTATAAATATATGTATATGCACATACGTAGAAGAAATGTACTCCAATGAATTGGTAACCTTACTACTTTCTTTTGAGGTCGGTTAAAAAATTAGTATCATATGGGCCACTGCATTCTGTAGTATGAAATACATATGTATACAAACATTAGTAGCCAATGACACTTAAATAAAATGTTACCTTATGTAAAAGAAGTGTTGTTCGGGTAAGCTTCTGAATCAAATCGTTCTATCCAGTTTTAGCTATGTTACAACCGCTAAATGGGAAAGCTAGGTGGCTAATTAAGTCAATTCGCCCACATGTACGGCCTTTGCAGCATCTGCGAAGCGGAAGTAGCGGTCACTAAATAAGTAGTTAGTTCCAAGGATCAGACGGTACTACTTAGGAGCGCTTTGTTTTGTCACAATCAACTCCAAAAAGTCGCTGGTTTCGGAAGAGACTTTAAGTGGATAGCTGGTTGGTTGGTTTGTTGATGAGGCGAGTCTAACATCTCAAATTAAATAGCACTTTTAAATGCCGTTTTAAAACTACAACTCGCAACTTGCAAGATGGAATTAGCTTGAATTTAACTCATGATAGCCTTTGGTGTAGTATTGACTCCTGCAAAATGTCGCATAAGTTTCGTGAAAAGGTCGCACAGTGTGATAGCATCTACGAGCCTTGATAGGACTGATTATGGCACAATCCATTGGCACGATATATGTATGGCCACCATAGGCATCATCGACGATCCACTATGTGCATCTTATTTGGAAGATAAGGATTGTACAGAACATTTTTCTGCCACTGTCCGACCTTCGCTAGATTTAGGTGGTACATTTTTGTGTCAGATGTTTGAGAATAGACGAGCTTCATTCTCTTTCACTAAACAAATTGCTAAGATTTATAAATAAGTTTTTGGATTTTCCGGCCACCCACAATTATATTCCTGTTTTTTTTTTTTAATTCTAACAGAGGGTCGATCCTTTTTTAATGGTTAGGCTAGCGTTCTTAATACTGGAAGCTAATTTGGAAATTTTTGAATGTTCTTTCAAGTAAGGAATCATGATGAATCCAATTTAAAGTATAGTTGAATCCAAAACAATTCTGAGAAACACACTAAAGACGACATCGTCAAACTGACATCGAGGTATCGTGACGATACGATACTGTCGTCCCTTTAGCGATGCTGGAAAATTGTAAACATCGATGGCAAACATCGAATTTTTAACCGATATTTTCGATTTTCAAAATCATCGATGCGTCGTTTGCATCCCTAGGTTTTCAGCAGATCTCGGATATATTTATCCATTTATGACCTGCGAAAGGAGAAACGATTTGTAATACCAAAGGGAGTGTTGCAGTCTAATACGCGATGCCCTGTTATAGAGAAATTGAGGTCAAGCATCAAGCATCGAGAATAATGATTTTAATGATAATAAAAAAAAATAAAATAAAATAAAAAAAAATATTCCGACGAACTGATAACCTCCTCCTTTTTTGGAAGTTGGTTAAAAATATAAGAACAAAAAATGACTCAAAATAGCTAAAAATGGTGAAAAAAAATTAAAAAATTAAGTTAAATAAAAAATCATTCTAAATGTAAAAAAACTGCGAAAAAATTATATAAACAATTTGAATTTTTGTATTTGGAACTTAAGAGTGGAACTTCTAAAAAAAATATAGCATCACATTAAATTCCGAGCCTTGGTGGTGAAGAGTTAATTGTTTTAAAAGGAAAAATATTTTTTTAATTCCATTTAATTTTTACAATATTAAATTATTTAGTTTAATTTTCTTAATAAAACTGTTAGAGAAATATTTTCGCGTTTCATTTACGCATCCTTTATGGAGTAAAATATAAATCAATTATCCTTCAATAATAATAGATTGACGCTTATACAATATGTAAGTGTTTGGCCGAGCTTATCCTCCGATTTATGGAGTGCGCCTTGATGCCCAACTATCTTTTCTTTCATATTTTACTTTTTGTGGCCTGCCCAGAGCCAGGCATGAAAAGTTTCGTTTAATGACTGGGAAGTGTGTATAGTGAATACCGTCATGGCATTGAAAATTTATTTTATTTTATTAAAGTTTACGTCATAAAACAGTTTTTAGTTTTTTAAATGGGAAATACAAAAATTTCTGCGCCTTACCTGTGTATAGACTGCTTTTTACTGCCTTTTGCTGAATTCACGATATTTTAGTAATCAATCACCGAAAATAATTGTTGCCGCAGCTTTGCATTTGTCACAGACATGTGCACATGGTAATTATTTCGAATTCTTTTGGAAACACTTATTTTAGCTGACTTTCATTTATGTATATAAGTATTCTTGTCTGACTTTTAGACATCTAGCCATTCGCGCTGGTTGTCACAGCCCTTTATTGGCTAATTTTTATATATATTTTTACTGCTTTAGCTTATTTTAGTTTGATTGAAATTTTTTCTGATTTCACAACACCTTATCTTTATCAACAGCTAAATTTTTTGTCAGGAAATTCCTGCAATTCAACGCAAAAACTTTTGAGTATAAACTGATAAACAGCCAACGCAGAATGTTGTTACTTTTAAATATGTATCTTTTTTACCCGTCTCCAGATGCGCGTAACTATGAGGCGCGTCTGAACCGGCCGGCACCAGCTATGGTTCTGAACAAATAACTTTCAATTGATTTGGCAGTGGTAGAAAGCAGCAAGCATACACGCTGCTGGATGGTCTACATACTAGGCAATACTTGTTGCGAGGTGGCGTGTTTTAAATAAAAAAAAAAAAAAATTATAGCGACGATTCTCCTGTAACGCAACTTTCCATAGGCGGCACGCGCAGTCGCCGTGCGACCAGTTAGACCGGAGCAGTCATCAATAGCAAAGTGGTTTGTTATTATTTTGATTTTAATTTGTACATACTTGAATGTTATCGCAGTCGATGCTGCTATTGCTGTTAGCTTATGCTCTCTATTTTCATTTATTTTTTTGTTTTAAGTTAAAGTGTTATGTTCGGTGCCAAGTTGCTGATAGCAAAGTTTCGGTTGGCGTATCTGCCGGCGGTATTTATCTCTTTAGCGATATGACGTCACTCAGCTTATTGGTATTTGTTGTCAGTCAATCAATGTTGGCGGCGAGCGTGACGAGCTGAGCGCTAAAAACGAATACCCGCATGCTTTTGATTTCGCATTTTTTTGGTGGTTATCAGCAATAAACTGGCGTTGACTGAAGCTTACGCTGCACGTTGCTAGTTCTTGGCAATGGAGAGTATTCAAAACGTTCCGTGATCACCTTTTTCCTGTCGATCAGTGACAGCCAGCGTTGCCGCGGACATTTTTTTCCCTATTGAAATTTCCTACCTAACATTTTTTTGAGTTTTTAAGGAAAGCAGTTCTGCAAAATTACGACGAAAAAAAACGTACTTTTTAAAGTCGGAAAGGTTAAATTTTTGAAAAAATTGTCCAGTGTAGCTTTTCCATAGTTCTAGACTTCCTGAAAAGGAAAAAGATTCTGCAATATTTCGCTGAAGAAACAATTTTTTCGAAAAAGTCGAATATATTAAATTTCTGAAAAAAAAAAATCAAACTTGAATTTTTTCGACTTTTTTAAATGTTTTTTTTTGCGCAATTTTGCATAACTTCTTTTTTTCTTTACAGGAACTTTAGAAACATTGAAAAGCTAGTCAGAAAATTTTAATTTTTTATCTTTTTTTTAATTTAACTTTTTCGACTTTTTTAAATGTTTTTTTCTGCTTAATTTTGCAAAACTTTTTTTTTCATTTTCAGTTGAAAAGCTACTCAGAATAGTTTTATTTTTTTATATTTTTCAAAAATTCTACTTTTTTCCCTTTAAAAAATCGACGTAATTTTACAGAACTCTAGAACTAGAAAGCTACTCAGAAAATTTGTTATTTGTCTTTTTGCCAGATGTCGTATGCTGCATGAATCTGGCATACACAATTTTTGATTTTTTTTTTTTTCAAAATGTCCAGAACTTTCGTGATACGCGGTTTTGTACTCTAAACGACGATATGTACATACATATACAGTTAATCACGATTTGGTTTTCGGAACCAAACAAAAATCCAATCTAGCCTACCAACCTACCAATTGAAAAAAAAAACCTAGCTACTTTTGGTAGGAAAAACTCATGTGTGGCAACACTGGTGACGCCGTCGCTGTGCTCGTTTAAGTGTTTCAAGGTAAAAATACTCGTGTTTCTTAATCAGTATGAATCAGCATTTTTGATAATAAGCTCTTGTATCCAATTCGATTTTGCTAAAACTCCCCTATTGAATAGAGCAGCTGCTGTTACCAAGTAGCTGCTGGAATAATTTGCATATCGAGCGGTGTCCGGCTCTCGTGGTGGGCACGAAATAGATATTCCACACATATATATTTTTTGTTGATATTGGGGAAAGGCTAGCATCTGCTGGTATGCAAATTTTTATTTAAATTCACTTATCATAGCGCATGTAAGCATATACATACATACATACATGTGACGAAATCGGCTGGACTGTGTGCTTACTTTTTACACAGTGATGTTCAGTTGGCGTAAAAAAAAAGTGCTTTTTTAAGTTTGGTACTTTGAATTTGATTACTGAATGAATAGCGATGGCCAAAAAGACAGAGAGGGGGCCATAGGGAGTGAAAGAGAGAGCGAGAGAAACAGTCAGAGAGAACAGGTACCTTGATGCGATGCAAGAGCTTAGTCAAAGCACCAACCAAGCCCTATCAGCAGTACAAGTAGGTTCTGTCTGATTACACCGAATTACCTTGGTTCGGAAAGTTTTTTGAAAGATGGCCTAGTTTTGTGGAGGAATGGAATTTAGTGCGTCTCGGAGAGTTCAATAATGAGTAGTAGGGTGGTTCTAAAAGTACTACACATCATGAGGCACCCCATTATTTTATTCTACGTGGAAAATAAAAAAATCCACGAAAATTTAAAAACTAAAACAAAATTCAGTGGGAATATGTAATTCTTTTTTTTTCTTGTAAATCGTAAATGAATACATATCAATAGGTTTCAATAGTAAGTCGAATTTATCAGATTTCAGGTAAAATTTTTGTCGAATTTTTTCGATTTAAAAAAAATAAAATTTTTTTCAAACCTTGGTAGCGACGCCTAAAAATGCGGAAGCATGAGAGGACGATGAAAACTTTTGACATGAGCCAGGATTCTTTGCAACAAGAAATCAAGAATCGAAAGGCAATATGTAAGGCAAAGGTAAATAATATGTCTCTCTCTCTCTCTCTCTCTCTCTCTCTATCTATCTTCAAACTATTTATTGACTTTCACCGGTTTTATTATAAGGTTAGAGCGCTGCCCTCCGGCAAATGAGGCTTAGTTATGTGTGCTAGTTCCATAGCGATTAAAGCTGAAATTAACTGAGCAGCCATAAGACTGCCGGCTTACCTGAGGTCGACTATAATGCTGGAAGTATAGTTTTTTTTTGTCAAGAGAAACGTCTGTGTTTAGTATGAAATGTGTTCGACTATGATTTGGTAAAAGTCTGCGTATGCCTTCGCGTATAAAGCTATTCAGGCATTCAAAAGCAATAAGGCTTATCCAAAGTCGCACGAAAACAAATTCACTCGGGATTTTTCATGCAGCCGTAGTAAATACACATAAGGGAAAAGAGAGAAGTGAGCGGTTTCGGGCTAAAATGAATATAACGCTGATTAAATGCGACGTTTAATGTTGCTGAATGAATATGAATCGACAAAAATATCGGTAATAATTCTGATAACAATACTTGAGCCGTTGTTTAGTTTTAAAGTGGCATAAGTCATTTCGTACCTCTTGTGCTTAAATAACCGGCTACTTGTCACCGAATGCATCTGTAAATCGCTCTATCGTCATAAACTAACGACAAGACCTTCTACCTTTGGTTAAGGAAGTTTAACGAATAACCGACGCGTTAAGATATAAGTAACTGGTAATTTAAGCAGAAGAGCTATGCGCTGACTTATGCCACTTTCAAAATAAATGGCTCACTCACTGATTAAGTGTAGATAAGTGAGACTGACTGACAACCCATCGATAATGGTATCAATCATGATAAAAACATTACAAGGTAAATTCATTCTCTCATTTCGTCGGCCATGATTTTTTTCTGACGTTTGCCAACTTTGTAAAATCATATAAAATTGAAAATAAAAAAATTAAATTGTTCACAATTGTTGTTGTTTGAGATTGAAAATGAGAATGTGTGTAGGAGTTTGAGTTTTGATATTAAAATTATATTGTTGGCAAACGTCAGACTGCCTCTCAATGGTTTTACCTTGTTATGTTTTTATCATGGTATCAATAGAGATTTCGACTGAGAATCATAACGTACACACCGCTTCAGTTCGATAGGTTCATCTTTGAAGTGAAAATTTTTTAGCGCCGTTGATGAGTGAGTGATTTGAAATTTGATGAAATGAAAAACTCACCATAGGTCTATCAGTGTGTGTGTATTAATGTTAGGGTGCGTCTACCTAGGGTGCGTATCCCTAACCGGCTACGTGTCTATAGTGATAGCAAAGCTACATTCAAAGCATTGTCCAGCCCTCTATATGCTTCCCGATTAGTTTCCCAACAAAACATCTGACCATTTGACTATAGTGGACTCAGTTAAGATATTAGGAAATTACTGAGAGTCAAAGATCTATTATACTGGCTCCAAAAAAAGTTCGCCACAACCTTAGGCCATGTATGAACTTAAAAACACCCTCGTCTTATTCCAGATCCTGGATGAATATGATAACCGCTTCCCGAATTAGTATCTGATCTATGACACACGGCAATCGCATATGTTCCAACCACAGAACCTGAAATTCTCTAGGTAGCCTGTGAAATTCCTCAGACCTAATCGACAAAAATTCAACAGTATTTCCGAGATTCCTCTAGAGGATGTCACAAATGTCTTATAATGCATTTTTCCCTTAGGAGCCCTGCTGCATATCCATTTGATGGACCATAGAGAGACTTTGCACCATACAGGCTCTATTGGGATCGACATTTTGCGAGAGCGTTAGCTCTTTCAATGCCATTAAAAGCCTCATATATCGATAACCATCAAAAGGGCAAACGTGTTATGCTTATATTATGTATAATAGAGTTTAGCAGTTTTCTATCGGCCTAGATGTATGTAGTTTTGAAAGGGCCCAGGACTTTTTGTGTTTCCTGAAACCAGACCCAGCATTACCATCCTCTTCAAATGCAATTATTTCATTACACTTACTTCATCCGTATACCAGACTTTGGGTGCCTTTGCCAAGCGTTGTTACTAGCTCTCTTCATCCCTTTTTGGAATTATTTATGCCTAGATATTTCGCGTTTTGCGGTTGCTCAGTCTTCGAAATTTCCTGCGGGGGTTAGGTGAAATAGATTTTGCTTCTCCTGAGGAAGAGAACAATGGTGGAGTTCAGTGGTTGTTTTGGCACCCCGTTTTTTTTAAAGGCCATTTTCAGAGATCCATTTCTTAGCCACTGCCTGTATTCAAGAAGCAATGCTATTCAAACTGCAGCCCACCACGTAGATGAGAAGCTTATCTGCATAGCAAAAAGCGTTAAATCCGTTACCTGTTAAGCTTTCGAGGGCGAGTTTTTTACAACTAACGATATCGAGAGTGTGAAACACGATCAGTTCGGAGGTAACGATGATAAAAACTCTTCCCGCTCGTTGGAGCCGCGTTGGCTGAAGAATTACACATTGAGGCGAATATTCCGGTGGACAGTAGTAATGAAGAATGTATGGACTTTGTCAAAACAGAATCGGGCGCAGAGTTTTACCATAACAAAGCTGTCGTTGCTTGGAAGAAAAAACCTCCGGCCAGATACGGCTCGCATACACATAATATTCCAGTTAATGCCAGAAGAAAATTTTGACTGTCTAGCTGAAGAATCGTAAATTGAGGCCAACACAAATCAGCAATTATTACCTCATTATTAATTTATGTTAATTTATCTAAAAAGTTAATCTGTGCCATACAAAATATTAATTTTTAAAGGCATCCCAATCCCAAGGATATTGGTAAATCCGTCAAATGTTCTAGGATAATCGTAATTATAATAAGAACAGCTGACCTTGTCTAATGGGCGTCGCGAGGCCAAAGCGGATCACTTATCGCCTCACAGCTAGTTGCTAATGC